TGGAATCATCGCTTTCAAGAAACTCTTCGGTGGTTCCACACCTGCTTCGATCTACCCTCATGACAGTCATGAAGTGGTAGTTCCTTCAGGACACATTGGTAGTGGATGGGGACGTTCTTACAACAAAGAACCCCAGAAGATGGCGTACAGCGCATATGCACCCAATTCGACCCAACAATAACTATTTTGTTGATTAATGCTATTTATTTAATTAATTTATTTATTTAAATTCCAAATAATAAAGCTTTGTATATTTTCTATTGATTTCTTTTATTACGGTATAAGATTGTAGCCAACACTTGTAAATATTACCAAATGCTTTTATGAAGATTGTAATTTGGCTAAAACGGAGACTCTACTTTCAAACCAAAAATTAGACGTTTGGCAAGGAAAACATTTTTTTCACTTCAAAAACAAATTAAAAATAAATTCAATTAAGTGTTGATTCGAAAATGACAAATGAGCATAATACCTCGCCTAATTTAAAAGAAATGCAAATTTTTCATTTGAAAGCATTTTAGAATGTTTTATGTAATTTAAAAAAAAGCCTCACGAAATTCAAAATAAGTGATTAAATAAAGGTGTAAATGCTAGCGAGTAAAATGCCTGTAATTGTAGATGTACCCCGTTCAACAATCAGTTAGTGTAATTTGTAGGAATTGTTTCGAAAGTAACGTATTTCATTATTATTAACATAGCCAGAGGAATATGACACATTTTATTACTTTTTTCCGTTTATTTCTCTCAAAAGTTCATAGAATGAAGAAAGCTTTGGACATGTGTACAGCATTTTGTGTTATACCCATTAACCGAAAGTACGCTTTGCGTTAAAAGAAGCAAAAAAGCCGAAAGGAGAAAATATTACTCTTGTAGGTACTTCATACTAATTTAAAATAACTGAGATTAGACGAGCAATACTATGCAAAACAAACTTATGCGTTAAAAGCTCTTGGTGATCCTGGCGACTGTAAATTTGGCAGATTTAAATTAATGTGTAAATTTGGTCTCTTTGAGATGTGGCAAATCGATTATTTCTGTTTGTAAAAATAATATAAAATATTAATCGATTAATCAGAACACTTGATTAATCCAAAGTAATAATTGCCCAGCCTTATTGTTACTTATTAGTTTCTCTCACCCGATCTAATTTGTCCCTTTAATTCCATGGGGTCATGGAAAGGAGATTCTCATTATTAGATTTATCATTTTATTTAACCTTCTTCCCCTATACTGGGGTTAAAATTATTTTTTTTTTAAATCACAGCCAACGTTTCACCCAGGTTGTTGAGTTTCTTGAAGACTAGTTGTATTTGGTTAAAAATGTAATGCTGATGGATCCTAAATAAGTAACACATATACAAATACTTTGAAAAAAAAATCGGTTGTCTGTAAAGTCGGTTTACTGGCGATAGTTGAACGTGACAACGTCATAAGAAAATACTGATGGAATGGTTTCATTTTTCAAAANAGATAGATTTTTTGAATGTGCTTACTTTCAAAAATACAGGTCCCAGTTCTTTTATAAAAACGATTCGATCGCATTATTCCCGAAACGTCTTTTCTCAACCATCAAACTCAGAATTCATAAGTCGAGATACCACTGTCCTACATTGAATTTAAAAAACAAATTAATTCTCATTTTACTTGGTATCCTTTTGAGTCTTCAGAACAAAAGTAGAGAAGAAAGAACATTGTGATTTTTTTAAGGCAAAGGAGATATCGGTACCATTTCTTCCCCGTAATATGTAATATATAAAACTGAGAGCTGATAAGGGTGAAGAAGGTTTTTATTTATTGCAAAAGTGATAAGTATATAGTTTATTCTCCCTTATCAGCTCTACGTTTTGCATATTAATAAAAAGGTTTTTTTTTTGTTATCTGACCAACCACCCTCAAAGAAGCAATCCGACCGTTGAACAACTATTTTTTATAGATCATTAATGCTGATATCATATCTGTAATTTATTTCTTTTAGTAAGGGTACAAAAAATCCTTACCTTCAGTGTACCACGGTGAGAATGTAATTGAGAAGAAAACCAAAAATTTACGCTCTGTATAAATATAATTTCAAGTCTCTGAAATTTCCCACAATAAGTTAGAAACGTTTCCGAACGTTAATTGACATAATTTACGAGATTCAACGGAATAACGAATGAATTTTCATTACCAAGGCGTCTTTCTAAAGATGAGAAGAATTGGAGCGGTAACCTCTTCGAAGGTCAAGGGTGACATGAAAGATGTTCGAATCTCGCGTAGTGGGTCAAAGACAAGTAACCGAGAACTTGTATGCTTGTAGGGCAACACTTTACAACTCCTTTATTTTAGTGTCACAATAATTTTACCATGTAACCTCCTACTTAAGTTTGTGTTTACGCGACGAAATCTCGGAGGATATAGTAGGATAGTAGGAATAACAACTACTTGAATATTAGTGTTAATGACTCAAAACATTCAACAAGCGTTTCATTAAAAACAACACATCTATATTCTCTTTGCAGAAAATCCACAGTACTTCATAGCTTAATCTAACCTATTAACGTAACGTAAACTACCCCAACTCAAAAATAAATAATTTTTTAAAAATTATTAGTTCGCCAACCTTTTCTTTGATAGCAAATTTTGATTTTTTTTTCTAAAATGGCGATCTAAATTAAGTACCTTTCATAAAAAAATCTGTTAAATAAACAGTCGAAAATCTATTTCGGCGTGTTTCTATTTTGTTCACTCTGAAAATCACAGTGTAAATAAAGACGCTATCAAAAGCTTCAAATCAAAATTCTCGTTCAACAATTTATAATTACCTTCTAAAGATATGTTTCAAAAACAATTCTACCTTCTATTAATTAAAATGGGCATACTTTTATGAATACTATGCATTAAAATCGGTTGGCAATTGGCGAAGAAATGGAGTAACTTTTTTTTTTAAGTCGGGTGAAAACTGAAGTTCATTCTATGTGAGAGTCAAAATTGAATTTTACAAACAATTACAATCGACTTCAGTTAGACATCCTTCGATTTTCGTGTATTCCCCCAGGATCGTTCCAACGTTTCCAATTTATACGAATTCCATTAATACCTCTAACAAGTGATGTTTCAGAGTCACTGAAGATGGCTTACAAGAACGAACAGAAAAAATTTGGAGGAAGCGATCTGTAATTTGGTGACTAATACGATTGAAGATTGGAGTCAGTGATCCGTTTCCTTTTCTTACGCGTCGATAGTTCCCAAGAGTACACGGATCCGTATATGTAGAAGGTGCAACGGCCTTTATTTGGCATTCCATAGAAATCGAATCCGGAGTCGGAAGAGTACGAGAGAGTGCAGACGGAGCCATTTCTCTCAATTGCGTCAGACTATATCTATGTCATGATGAACGTATTTAGATCGGCTAGCAGCCAATTAAATATTTCGTAACAATTCGCTGATTGTAGTTGTCAATTACTACCAAAATAATTAAATTTTACATTTTATATTTTACTTATATCAGTTGTAAATATTATTCATAGGCAAACGCCTCAATATATTTTAAAATTTACTTCCTAATTAAATCATTGATGCTTTGACAATGTTTACGAAGGCAGCGTTACGTTTTTATTTTAAAAAATGATGGCAATTCGTTTAATACTTTTATAGTAAAAGAATTTTGATCGATCGATAAATAGAAATTTAATTTTGTGAGAGTTCGTCAAATAGTCACTATTGAGCACGAAAATCGATCTGTAAACTTTTTGCTGTTGGTTTGTAAATATATAGCATGGTAACTAAACAACATAAAATCACGCGAAAAATCTGTGCGTGAACAGAAAATGGCAATTGGCAACTATTAAATCAATATACTCGATGAGACAGATAAACATTTTTTCCTTAAATGACATAAAGTTTTCACCGCACGTATTTTTACTTTCTCGGTGGCGTTTTGCCTTTGTTTTCACTTGCGAAGACGCACGCGTATCGACGTGTTTGTATTCTTAATAAAGGATTTAACAAAGCGTGCGGAGAAATGTAAAAGTTCTCGACTGATTAAAAGCAAGTAGGGCAGATGATGCGTTTAGGGCTTCGACCAGAATATGTGTCAGATCCGGATATACCTTAGCTGGCCTTGACCGAGACAATGCCTCTTCTGTAAGACCACTGAAACGTTAGTTCCTTAATGCATTTCAAATCAACCACCGCAACAGTGACACTTCCATAAAAAATTAGCATGAAACAGTAACGTCATTACACTTGCAAAATTGTGTCGTAAAAGAACAAAGACTTTGTCGTCTTCGGTTGGTCACATAAACATACTTGCGGTCGGAAGAAAGCTGAATTAATTAAGACATTACGTCAATGTCACGTACTGGGCGTGCTCTATGAGAGGGGTCCGATAAGAGACAAACCGTCAATGGGTTCAAAAAACAGTAGGAGGGGAACTGTGGTTGAATAGAATTCGTCTCATATAAATTTGGTGGTGAAATAGTCCAGATCAGTTTCGAGCAACATGTCCCCCAAGTGTGTAGTTCTCGCGTTCTTTGTTGTTGTGGTGGCAGTGTCTGCACGTACCGTATCAGTTGCTGAAGAAAATGTGATACCACACGACACCCCTCGCGGTTCATCATCCCTCCTGGACGAATTACGATTCGCATATAACGTTTACAGAAACTGCGACGGAGATTCTTCATGTTTGAAGCTCAAACTCGTTACAACCCTCGACAGGGCTGCAAGATCTGTTTCTGATTATTCGTTTATGGGGGTAAAATTCGTGAAGGACCCAAATGCACCCTCACCTCCGGAACCGCAACCTGAGTCTGAAATTGCAGACCAACTACCGCGTTCCCTTGAAGACAAGGAAGACAAACTGAATGCATTGATTGTGGATAAAATCGGCAGTTTTCTTTCAACGCATTCTTTACAAGTAGGCCATTTACAACTTTAATTTTTATGTTCAGCAATCAAACACTACTTTCGATTTTGCAGGTTGAATTACCTTCAGTATCCGATCTTCAGAGAGCATTCTCTGATGACGAAGGCAGAGCGAAAAAGAAAAAACTTAGTGGATTGTTGACATTGCCTTTACTTCTTGGAGGTGCTTTAATCCCGTTAGTACTTGGTGGTCTTGCTTTACTTGCTGGTAAAGCATTGCTAACTGCCAAAGTAGCTCTATTACTAGCTGGAATCATCGCTTTCAAGAAACTCTTCGGTGGTTCCACACCTGCTTCGATCTACCCTCATGACAGTCATGAAGTGGTAGTTCCTTCAGGACACATTGGTAGTGGATGGGGACGTTCTTACAACAAAGAACCCCAGAAGATGGCGTACAGCGCATATGCACCCAATTCGACCCAACAATAACTATTTTGTTGATTAATGCTATTTATTTAATTAATTTATTTATTTAAATTCCAAATAATAAAGCTTTGTATATTTTCTATTGATTTCTTTTATTACGGTATAAGATTGTAGCCAACACTTGTAAATATTACCAAATGCTTTTATGAAGATTGTAATTTGGCTAAAACGGAGACTCTACTTTCAAACCAAAAATTAGACGTTTGGCAAGGAAAACATTTTTTTCACTTCAAAAACAAATTAAAAATAAATTCAATTAAGTGTTGATTCGAAAATGACAAATGAGCATAATACCTCGCCTAATTTAAAAGAAATGCAAATTTTTCATTTGAAAGCATTTTAGAATGTTTTATGTAATTTAAAAAAAAGCCTCACGAAATTCAAAATAAGTGATTAAATAAAGGTGTAAATGCTAGCGAGTAAAATGCCTGTAATTGTAGATGTACCCCGTTCAACAATCAGTTAGTGTAATTTGTAGGAATTGTTTCGAAAGTAACGTATTTCATTATTATTAACATAGCCAGAGGAATATGACACATTTTATTACTTTTTTCCGTTTATTTCTCTCAAAAGTTCATAGAATGAAGAAAGCTTTGGACATGTGTACAGCATTTTGTGTTATACCCATTAACCGAAAGTACGCTTTGCGTTAAAAGAAGCAAAAAAGCCGAAAGGAGAAAATATTACTCTTGTAGGTACTTCATACTAATTTAAAATAACTGAGATTAGACGAGCAATACTATGCAAAACAAACTTATGCGTTAAAAGCTCTTGGTGATCCTGGCGACTGTAAATTTGGCAGATTTAAATTAATGTGTAAATTTGGTCTCTTTGAGATGTGGCAAATCGATTATTTCTGTTTGTAAAAATAATATAAAATATTAATCGATTAATCAGAACACTTGATTAATCCAAAGTAATAATTGCCCAGCCTTATTGTTACTTATTAGTTTCTCTCACCCGATCTAATTTGTCCCTTTAATTCCATGGGGTCATGGAAAGGAGATTCTCATTATTAGATTTATCATTTTATTTAACCTTCTTCCCCTATACTGGGGTTAAAATTATTTTTTTTTTAAATCACAGCCAACGTTTCACCCAGGTTGTTGAGTTTCTTGAAGACTAGTTGTATTTGGTTAAAAATGTAATGCTGATGGATCCTAAATAAGTAACACATATACAAATACTTTGAAAAAAAAATCGGTTGTCTGTAAAGTCGGTTTACTGGCGATAGTTGAACGTGACAACGTCATAAGAAAATACTGATGGAATGGTTTCATTTTTCAAAAGAAAATTTTAATTTTATTTGTTTGATAGATATTTTGTATGGATATAGAG